TACATGCTGGTAAACGGCCAGTGTGGAGACAAAAAAGGCCAATGTTCAGCCTCAAAACCATCAGCTGAAGACAATTAAGCTTTTTACTAGCTGCATTAAATTTATTTGCATTCTTAAGCAGTGACTGGTCGATGAAACAGGAAGTCTCAGCCTGTATATGTACTGGCTGCACCTGAGCCTGTGTTATGTCCCCAGAGTCAGCAGATTAGCTGATGGGCTCCTAAAATACTTAATAACCGACTCTCTACTATTTGAAGTCACGTTTTAAAAAAGTATTTTTTAAACTCCTATTTCTTACCTATGCAAACCAATTGTGTTTGAGTCATTAGTGATTAGTCGATTAATCACGGGAGATAAAATAAATGGAAAATTGTTCTTTTTTTGAAAATAATTTAAATAAGAAAAACATTAACTTTTGTTCAGTTTTGGAAGAAAACTGCAGATAATTCTGTGGGTTTTATGTAATCAATGAGTTTCATTTATTTTTTAAAATTCAGAAGCTCAGATTTAATTATTATTATTACTGATAATTCAAATAATTTCCAGTTACAGATTTTTCCAATTTATTTCTCATTACTTTTTCATTTTATATCAAAGTTTTCTACCGTGATGCACTGAAGTGTCCCATATGTCACGCCTTAACAGAAGGTCTACTGGAAATAATTCTGAGATTTTGCTAGCGATCTCGTCATTTATTTAGTGCTGTGCAACAGTTTAAGTGAAACCCTATCTCTCCTCCCTCACCCCCTCAGGATCTGTGGGATCTCCCACTGAGGTGCACTCCCCGCCCAACGTGGGTCTACGGCGCAGCGGGCAGATCGAGGGAGTCCGCCAGATGCACAGCAACGCCCCTCGCAGCCAAATGGCCACAGAGGGAGATCTGGTAGCCTGGAGCCGCAGGGTGCTGGTCCCTGAGCTCGAAGAAGCCTCTGTCAGGTAACTGCTGAAACAGATATGTACACAAACACGTTCTCACATTCTCTGGGGCACAGGATCTCCTAAATATGACGAACCTCGTGATCTGTGTGTGCGCAGGAGACAGGTGAACTGGCGTGAAGCTAAAGGAGAGGAAGAGATCAATATTTATCAGTCAGAAAGGAGAAGACGTACTCTCCACTCTCTCCCCAAGGAGAGCAGGGTG